CTTATGCACTGATAAAATGTCGAGAGAATAAGTAAGGAAAGCGAAAGCCTTGGCTAGGATCTAGGTTGTAACGGTTCTTGCCTTCATAAGAAGGCTATGAGAAGGTCGTTTACGCTGTTATGACGTACATTACAGTTCTCTTTCGTTTTCCACAACTTACCCAACCCAAGCGTTGACTCGTCGGACTGTTTTGATTTTGAAACAGGTTCAGTAATGCTAAAGTCATTCTTTAAGTGTGGTACTCAGAAAAAGATGGTGCGCATTACTCGTTTTTATGGTCACCATTAGAGCTCGACTGTGCTCTGGCCTTGGTGAAGTGTTGAAACATTGAGCCTGTGGTCAGAATGCCGTAATGTGGAGTACACCAATTGTTTATGACAATTCCAAAACTACGTTTCAAGTCACAATCATCCAAGCCGAAAAGGTCGTCCAGCAGTGGAGAATATGCTAGCGGAGTTGGAACCAACAGCTCAATTTTAGAGTTTCTATGAACATGTCGGATGCTGGCAGTTCAGGTGAGGGAGTATAGTGAGAATTATATTGACTAGGTGCTGAACCATCACAAAGGGATGAAAGACTGCTAAAGTCCTGCTGTCGTAAAGCTTCTCCGGCTGCTTCCCGGCTGAATAATAGTCTCGAAGAACTGAAGCCAATGCACCCATTGGAGTTTTTCGTACAGTTTGACCTTTTAATGGCCTAAGAGTAACACACTTGATTGGTGTGCAAGATACCAGCCATTTTACAACATGAATTGGCGGCTGGGAATAGGGAAAAAAGGAGGAAAATCGCGGAAAAACAATCAAAAGGTGACCATCATCAAGGGAAATGATACTAAGCATGGTTTTCAGCAATGGCCTTCATGTCAAATTGTGGACGTTTTTATGGATAAATGTGAGCTATTAAACTTTTGGGAATATTACAAATTTCATGGGTTAAAATATCGACGCCGAAATCAGTCTTGATATACTCGGTTTATTCATATAACCATACCTTGCTGCACATGTAGGCATAGTTTCCGTGTACTCGTTCGGTACCAGGACACAATTCGATGGATCCCTTACGACCAGATATGTTCACGACAGTGCCCAATTTCCCGCTCGCTATGGACTTCCGTAGGAGGGGAAGGCACTCCTAAAAAATAAAAATCTATAAGATATGGCCTCGTTATTACACACATACGCACCTGTATCACCATGGCAGGAGAGACAACATTTATGTCAAAATGGCGTAGCCATGCTGCACGTTCACCGCTTGGAATTCCAGCTTTATGGTCCTGTGAACAGAATGTACAGTTCAGTGTAATATAAGAAAAAGGGAGTTGGAAAGAAAGTTCTGCAACACTTTTTCCCACTTTTGATTCTGATTTTACCTTCTTTTGCTAACAACTTCTGACCAATTGGATATCTACCATTAATTTCTGCCGCTTGTCTCCAATCCTCAGAAATTTTCTCAATGCTCCAAAACACGGTGGAGAAACAGGTAAAAAGCAGACGACCTCGCTTTAAAATTGAAGTCGATTGTTCAATTCTTTCGCTATAAAGATGATGACTCATCGTAGGGGAAGTGTGACCATTTAGGACTTCACCAGGGAGATACGCTAGGTGAGGTAGAAATCTTCGTGGCGACTCCAGAATTTCTTACCGGGCTCATTTCGGATCATGGTGAAAAGAAATGAACATTATCGGAGTACGAACGCCTTCGGCGGACTGTCTCGGCCAACTTCTGCAGTTCAGCAGCGTAGACCTCTACCTTCCACAGTATTTTCCATATCGAAGAATTTGCAGTAGAGCTTTCATGACATACCTACACTCCGTTGCAAAACTATACGACATAGCCCCAATTTTGTTTCTGGAGTTGCGAGAAATTAAAGGATAAAAAGGATAAAGCATTTGCCGTTGATCAATCCCTTTTTGGGATGCGGCACGCATTCTACTTCCATTTGTACATTCGTAGTGGCGTTTGAATGCGATGTGGCCTATACAATGACTTGCGGGGGCCAGCCGATGTACAAGTCAGTGTTTTTTATCCTCCCAGACAAGTCTGGTACCAATTAACCGACCCCGGAGGGATGGAAGGCTTGGTTGGCCCGGGCGACTCACGACCCAGGATTTGATCCCGGACCGCTCGCGTGGTGAGCGCGCCACTTGTCACTACACCACTTCCGCCCTGGAAAACGATGCGAATAAAAAATGTTATACCATTCGACGGCCGTATAAAGAAACCTATGCAAGAGAATCTTCAAGCAGTTTTATCACAACTTCTATATATCTAGGGTTAAGATAACCGCTGTTACAAAATTATACGACATAGCAGAAATCTCTACAATTATTTTACTCTAGTAAAATAGAATTTCTTTAATACTTTACAGTCATAATAGTACGGTGGTGTAGATAGGTAGTCTCAGGATTCGTCGTAAGACGATCTCACCTTGAATCGCCGACTACCATGTTTTCTACCAATTTTCATAGGGCTTCTCCTAGAACCGTGCGTAACTTTTGAGTAGCGGTTTTTGCAG